TTTCTTTCTTTCTTTCTTTCTTTCTTTCTTTCTTTCTTTCTTTCTTTTTTTCTTCTGCCTTTTGGACTTTGGTAGACAAAACCAGGTTACTTCACAGCTTGTGTTTGCTCTTTGGCCGCTGCGAATGACAATTTTCCTCTGTCCATCAGCCACACATTTTGCAAAAGTTAAAAGCCAAGGCCAGAATGGGTCATTAAATAAAAACAGGCGTTTATCCCACAACCGCAATCCTTCACTGGGATCATTTTCGAACCTCAGCCCGGTGTGGTTGTCGGCAAGGAAGGCACGCAAGCTGAGAGCATTGCACACCTCTCTGTAACACACCTTACTTGGCAGGAAACGCAGAGCTGCGGGTATCTTAGCCACAAAACTGTCACAAACAAACACAACTCCCTTCCTACAAAATTCTGCGGGGGGGGGGGGGGAAATGCAGTGGTTGGGATTAACAAGGAAAATAAACTTGAGGTCAAGAGGGAAGATAATATCTTGTTCCAAAACAGACACCAAGCCTGTTGGGCCGATCCTGCGCCCTTTATTAATTACAACCCAAATGTGACACGTGTAAAGGAAAATGCACCTGGGCTGGCACAGGCAAAAAACCAAACCAAACCAAACCAAAGTGCCAAAGTGCCTCAAAACCAAACCAAAGTGCCTTGCAGGGATGTGGGTGAAAATATATCCGGACAAGGGAAAGCGATGAAAACCTATTTTGCACAGTTGGCGTGCATGTACACCTGTTCTTTGCCCCCTGTACTGTAAAGTTATTCAGAGTTTATAGGTCATTGTATATTTTCCCCTTCACTAGAGAGATTGCCAGGGAGGGCAGAAAATTTTTAAGTAGACTTTCTCCTCCAGGATTGAAACCCAGCTATTACGCGTGCAGTGGCAAAATTAAAAAAAAATGGTTACAGAATTATAGCTGTCAATTTGTGCCAATTTTTGGAGATAGAACAACCTTTGGAAAATGATATTTACACACATACTTATGGGCTGTCCACTCAAATAAACCAGGGAATGATCCCAACTGTTTGAGAACATGTATTTCTTAACAGGGATGTTATTATCCACTATTAATGTGCTATAATGTGTCAGTGCTATTTTTTTATACATTATAAATAGTGATGTCTATTGCTGGTTTAAGATCGTAATAAAGTTATATTCTGTTCTATTCTTTCCCCCAAATTCCCCTTTTGCCTGCTGGGTGTTCGGTATTAGAATCCCCCAGCTTAATTTTATTTTTTCTTAAAAAAAAACATTGTTTACATCTGTAAAAAGGAAACGTGTACAATATTTCTCATCCCAAAAGGATTTCCGCAAGGAAGAAGCCATTCGAGAGCTCTGCAAACAAATAAACGATGATTAAACTGTCTCTATTGCCATCGCACCCCAAAACTGCCGGGGAAAAGATAGCCTGGATTCCAAATCCTGGCTTGGCTAGGAGCAGGCTGCGTTTGCCTACCTCGCAGGGATGGCGTGAGGATGGCTAATGGGAGGAGATGCCCAAACTGGCTTTTCCACATTCCTGCCTCCCTCTTTCGCTCTTCGGTATTTCATCAAAGGGTATTAGGTAACCTGGAAGAGGGAGAGTCCTGCCTTAGGCAGGAAGGCAGCTGGGTGATTTGGGGCCAGGCCCTCGCTCTCTGCCCCAGGAAGAACACCAGGGTAGCTGAAATGGGCCCCCAAAACAGCAGGAACTCATGCAGGCAATTGCCAAGTGTCAAGACTGACTTCATCCATCTATCCATCCATCCATCTATCTATCTATCTATCTATCTATCTATCTATCTATCTATCTATCTATCTATCTAGCCTCAATGTCATCTATCCTGTCTGTCATTTCTCGCTCTCATCCACCTACCTACCTACCTACTTACAGTATCTCTTTATTTATCTATCTATCCAGTTGTGCATATATATATATCTACCTCTCTCTCTTTCTCTCCTATCTATCTATCTATCTATCTATCTATCTATCTATCTATCTATCTATCTATCTATCTAATCATCTATCTATCTATCTATCTATCTATCTATCTATCTATCTATCTATCTATCTATCTATCCTCTGTGTCATCTATCTTATCTGTCATTTCTCTCTCTCATCCACCTACCTACCTAGCTACCTACAGTATCTCTCTATTTATCTATCTATCCAGTTGTGCATATATATCCTATCTACCTCTCTCTTTCTCTTCTATCTATCTATCTATCTATCTATCTATCTATCTATCTATCTATCTATCTATCTATCTATCTATC